ATTTTGAAGACAGACCACATGATAGGACACAAGGCAAACCTCTACAGATTCAAAGGCATAGAAACTATATCCAGCATCTTCTCCAACCATGATGGAACTAAACTTGAGTTTAATTTCAAGAGAAATCCTCAAAAATACTCAAATACATGAAAACAAAATAACTTACTCTTGAATGACTCTACAACTACTGAAGAAATAAAGACTGAAATCAAAAGATTTATGGAAGCCAATGATAATGAGGACACAAATTTCCATAATCTTTGCAACACTGCTAAAGCAGTCATAAGAGGGAAATTTATAGCAATTAGTAAGCATAAGAAGACGGAAAGAAGGCAAATAGATCACCTAACATTGTGCCTGAGAGAACTGAAAAAGCAACAGCAACAAAATCCAAAAAACTCCAGGAGAAATGAAATAATAAAGATACAATCAGGAATAAATGAAATACAAAATAAATTAACTACACAGAAAATAAATGAAAGTAAAATCTGTTTCTTTGAAAGATAAACAAAATCAATACTGCTGAGACCATGCAGTTAACACAAGCTGAGTATGAAAGAACTGCCCCTCATGCCTAAGAGCAAGGACTCGGCTGAGGAGAACTGTTTGCAAAGTCAACAGTTTTTTGAGTTCTGATCGTCTATTGTGTTGCTGTACTGGCCTGCATTCAATCTCTCTGCCATGGGCCTTACTGCCATACCCCGGTACCCCATAAAGGCACCCCCTGCCTTACTATAACTTTTATAATAGTCTTGAAGGAATGCGGATCCACTAAGATGGCAGCTGCGAAAGGCGGTGGCTGTGAATGGGAATTACTCCCATTAGATTCACCCCACCCTCCTGGAAAATGTCAATAAAGAAAGCTACATTCACTTCTCCTACTGGGGATTACATAGATAAGCATTAGGAAGGTTTAGGTTAAAGCTACTAAATTGGCAAAACAATCTCAGTAGCTGGGAGGGGCTCAGGGACTCATCCACGAGGTGCTGTTACCCCAAAGACCATGAGTCACCTTTAATCTCAAGACAAGGGAAGACGATTATAATGGTCACAAAAATCCTGGCTGGTCTTTCTGGAATAATTAGAATAATTTTATGTGGGAAGTGATATGATTAGGCATTTAATAAGACACTGACATTAGGACTGGCTCCATGGCCTGGTGGTTAAGACAGCTGGATCCCACATGTTTGATGATGTGTATTTTTTGTTTGTTTGTTTTTTTAACAATTACTTATTTTATTTTATTTATTCATTCATTTTTTAGTTTGACCAGAGAGAGACAGAGGGTGAGAGTGAGAGAGAGAGGAAGTGAGGAAGTAAGTCACCAGATTCAGGATTTGAACTCTGGTAGGCTACCAGAAGCCATGCTCCAGCTGGGGTGGGTACATAGGAAGGCGACTCGGGTGAACAAAATTAGGCCAAGAAGATCTAAGAAGAGAATGCACCTGAAAAATGGACTTCCTCTTTCTAAGAATTATGAGTGTTTATACCTAAACAAAACAGACGTCATGTTTTATGATTATTGTTCCTATACTTTGAATGCTTTACCTTTTGGAGTAAAATCTTTCACTTACTTCCCCTCACCCATCCTACTCCTGTAAAACTCCTTCTATAATAAATACGCATGACTACTGGCCATCAGGGCTGCAGTCCTGAGTTTACTCTGGCTGTAGCCAGCTGAGGACATGATAAGGGGCATTGAGGTCTTGGCCTGATTTTGTTCACCCATGTTGCCTTCCTGTGCACCCACCCCTGCTGGAGCACGGATTCCAGCACAATACACCACTAGTGAGATTAATTAAGAAAAGAAAAAGGAACCAAGTAAATCAAATCTGCAGTGAAACAGGCAATATAATAACAGACAT